TGGTAATTGGTAATTATGATTGAATGAGTAAACAAAAATGTGAAAATGAAAAGGATATATAGATACCCAGAGTCTAAGGGCAGAGAAGAAGGAAGCTGGGCAAGAAGATCACAGGAATTTGTTCTTGAGTGCTGCATTGTATCTCTGCATGGAAGGAGTGGATAAACTGGAAAAATAAGTTCATTTCCTCCATTAGTCTGAGTGTTCTCATCAGCCCCAGAAAAACAACAATCCATCAACTCAATAAACCTAAAAAATAATAAAATAAAATAAAAATGAGCCAATCTAAAAATTAGTCACAAAAAGAAACATGAATTAGTAACTGTGAATTAAAAGGTTCCTCTTAACCTTTGGTCTTCACTCAATTTCAAAATAACACAATAATCCCAGCCTTTCAAACCCACAAGGGGCCTAAGCCTCTCAGTCAGATTTTGCATGATGATGGCATATCTACAGAGAATTTATTCAATAATGGATATTTCTTCAAAGAACAATCTATCGAATCTCATAATATGCAGAGATAATAATATTCCAAAAGCCACAAGAGACCTCAATTTCTGAAATTCTTGTTACAATAATTCCACAAAAGCTCCTTCACCTAGCCAGTCATTCTATCAACAAACAAGAGGGCAAGAGCAAATGTCAAAATCTACAACAGAAATGCAATATCCAAAGAATGAAAAGCAGTCCAACCAAGAAGAACCATCAATGGATGAATATTGAATGCATAAAGATTTATCAAGTTTCAAGCAAGAAGAACCAAACCAATCAATCTATTGCTTAACCAAACCAGAAATAAATAGTTAGAATTTGAGATTGGGGCCTAAAAACCGAACCTTGTTATTGGCAAGACCATAGAAACTCCATGATAGGATAGCTTCATCATTTACTTCCACCGAAGACAGACACCAAGTCAGCAAATTTTGTATTTAGGGTTCCCATGACTTGTGCTTGCTTCGGCTTCCAAATCTCAATCTCAAGCTCAAATTTGCAGGTAAACTTTTTCAATTTCGGGTTTCAGACTTTCGGTCAATCGCAGTGTTAAAAAAATCTGGCTAGGCGGATGGCTAGGCGGCTAGGCGGGCGCTAGGCGGCCGGGCTGGCCTCCTAGGCGGGTTGGGTCATTTTTCGGTGTCGAACAAGGGGGACGAAGCAGCCGAAACTTGTCAGCGTCTACAAGCTCCGTCCTCTGCGAGTGCAAGCTTCGTGTTCGTTTGTATTCAAAGCGTATAGCCATGCGGCTATACCCTTAAAATATTCGAATATATAAATATTTAAAGCGTATAGCCAAACGGCTATACTTTGAAAATATCCAAACGTATTTTGAAAGTAACGCTGACAGGCTATACTTTTTAAATATACAATTTTATCATATCATTTTATGGTTTAGGGTTAAAATACCACTTTAGCCCACTGGGCTAGAGTTATTTCTTCAATTATTTTATTTATACAAACGATATTGGGGAATGAGAATCTAAATTCTCTCTGATACCTTCTATTCTAATGATTTCCAAATATTAGCCCATTGGCCATGAATAAAAAATGAATTTTATTTATAATAAATAATACAGGTTAAACCCATAAATACAACAACAACAACAACAAAATCCCCCAACATTTTGTGGATCAAAGGATGTTGAATTTCATAGTATAAAATTGCTTGTATAGCAATTTACTTTGTAGAAGAAAAATTGGATACAAAACAGTCTAACGAGACAACGAAGAGAAGTTTGCAGCTCTTTTTTGAAAATTAATTAAAGGTATCGGAGGTCATATGACATTGATATATGAACTATTCAAAATGAGAATTCAAACAACATGTGTTAGATGAGATGAAGCATCTCATTCTTAAATATAACATATTATGCTTCTTAAATATAACATATTATTTAATTTGTCTACTAGTTGTGCCTGTTGTTAAGCTGGTGCAACCAACATTCTTTCACCATGAAACTTTTCCTGAACCTCAAAGAAATTTAGTAAATTGAAGTGTATCCTAGCATCAAAAGTCATAGATTACATAAACTCATTAACCAAAGGTAATGCTTCCTCTCTAGTTTTGGTCTTCCTTTCTATTTTGTGATTGCATATGTTCATACATAAGCCTGTGCTCGTTTGTGTGTGTGAGAGAGTACTTGTTATTCTCATATTTAGTAAAAGATTTAGTCACTTTCTGTTTTTTGTAATTGGGAGAGACACTGACTTGTGTGTTTAACTTGACAGCTTGAATTGGCAGCATTAACAGTGTAAAGACCCTCATCCAAATCGAGTCATTAAGACTCTTTTCGTTGATCATGTTTGTGAACCACAGGAAAATGTTCCTTTGTCTCAACCAATTGAAAACAATTTGGAAGTAAGATATGCTATGGTGACATAAATTTATTTTTCTTAAGTATTTGTCCTCATTAACCAATGTCCTGCTCGATGTCTACACTTATTGATTTTTGTCCAAATCCAGTTATTAAAATCCTTTTCATTGATCGTGTTTGTGAATGGCAGGACTGTTTGTCATTGTCTCTATCGACTGGGAACAGTTTGCAAGTAAGATATGTTCTGGTAAACTGAAATTCTTTTCGTATTGGTCCTCATTAACCAATGTTTCCTGCTCATCAGCCATACTAGCTGATTTTCTTTTTCTATTTTTAAACAAGATTTTGTTTAGTCTTTCTAGTTTCTTCTAAGATTGCTCTAACCTTCTGTATTTATCCTTCACAAGCAACATCAAATCCACTTCCAACTTCTTCTGCTGAGCCAAAAATTTATCTATAACACAAGATGCACTCTCCGGGAGCAGTATCTCTCAATGCTGCAAAGAGCCTAGGTATTTTATTTTAGTTCTTCAAGTGATGTTGTTGGGTACTGGTACCCTCTAATTTATGTTTGAAGTGTGTCGTCATTTTACACATTGCATAGTTGTTATTATTAACTTTTGATTAAATTTTTGTGGCTACAGCTATAGAGGTTATTGACTATCCATGCTTGTCCATAAAAATGTTCTTTCTGATTTTGGATGAGGTAATCTGAATCAAATATATGTACAGAATTACATAATTATAGAACTTGTGTTTCTTGACCTTGGTTTTCTTTCATTTGTTTAGGTAAAATCAACTGTCACTGATCCTGGCCAAAGTCACA